CAATACATGCTTTATAGATCTATCATTTTGAAGTCCAGAAAGAATCATTAGATGGTCTAGGCAGGCCCCAGCACTGTGCCAGCCACTATTACACTGCAGAAATCAGCCCCGGAGGCAGCTCGGCAGCTTCTGCTTGGCTTCCACGTCCTTTCCAGAAAGGCCATCCAGGGATACCAAGCAATGGACAACCTGCCCCATCCCCTGAGGTGTTCTAAATTGAGATCACTCCCCTGCCCCAGCCTTACATCAAAATCCATGCTGACTGCTCTTTTTTTTGTTATTATTTATGGAAATGGTACCCACAGCCAAGCAGGGCTGGATGGGGACAGGAATTCTCTGTCCCCATCTCCTCTGTGCGGGAAGAGAGGAGGCAGCTGAATTAGGAACTTCTGCATTGTGCATCCATACTCCCTCTTCAGACAGGAGTCCCACCTGCCAAAGGGTGCCATTGGCCAAGAACATTAACAGAAGTCCAATGAATAATAATTTAAAATAGTGGATTAATTAGAGGAAATTGTGATCTGCTTGCAAATATCCTGCAGGTAGTAAAATGGAGCTAAGCCTTGCAGCTACAAAATCCATTGCAAGCCACTGCCTCTGCTGAGTTTTACTAGAGGAAAACATCTTTGTTCCTTACCCATTTTAGAGACCAGTCCCAGTTAGACTAATTCAGCAAAATGCAGGGTTTTTTCGAAAAGGAAGAGGAAAACCAAATTTTATAGTAGCTTGTGATCAGAGAAAACCCACTCTGATTTCCTACATGTTGCAGGTGATCCCATTTCCATATAGGCACTTCCATTTCCATCCAAGAGTTAGTTAAATTAAAGTTCTTCTGTCCTCAGAGTAGGGAGAAGACAGTAAATACCTCCTGGATCCACTGCCCTAGTAGAGAACTGCTTGGAAGAGACATTACACAACCCTTAAGGCAAGAAAAATAAAGCAAAAAGTCTCAGAAAAGACAAAACCACGTCTTCTTAATGTGGAACAACCTCAATCCACTGTTGCTGTGATTCTGGTTGCATGAGTATTGGTGAAAAATAAAAAAAAAAAATCTGTGTCACAGTTGCTGAGTAATTCTCAGAGAAATGTGCAGTTGGTATTTAACTCTGGCCAGACCAGACCTGACCATTTTTGTGGGCAGAAAGATTGTAATTTGGTCACTACACAACACCCAAGGGAGACTAAGGAGCTTGGGAGCTTCATCCCTTCCACTATTTGTCCTGTGTGTTGTTCCTGGGATTCAAGCAGCCGACCAAGATGCTCCCAGCACATGACAGGAACGATGCATGGCTCAGGAATTAACAAATTCAGCTGAAGCCTGGTGTGGTTATCTTGGCACCCACAGCGCTCAAGGGGGAATTTGGGAAAGGAAGAAGGGCATCTGCAATAAGATTCACTGTCCTGGGGGATCTCTGGTGTCACCTGGAAAGCCTTGGTGTAGCTCCCCGGCAGAGGAATCGGAGCTGCGACAGGAACCAGGCTGGAAGGGAACAGCAGGCACACAATGCCAGCCCTCCCAACGTGTCCAGCCCCGCAGGCACCAAGGGAAGAGTGTGAGAGGAGGAGACAGGACGGCTAAAGAGCTAGAAAAATCACGGAGAAATAGAACATTAGTGTCTTAGTTTGGATGGACGTAACAGTTTGGACTCCAGAAATAATCAATAGTCTTTCTGCTAGCGGTGTATTTCATTCGCAGCAGTTTCACGGAGAGTTTGAGGGAGATTATATATTTATGGTTTCCCATTTGAAAGAATTTTAGCAGGTTTACCTCGAACATATGGATCCTGTTTTTGTTCTTTTGTTTTAGCACTTAATGCTTGTGAAATTGCCAGTTAATGACATCCATGCCTAAACCATGTTGCTTTTTAAAGTAAAACGTCTACCAAAGGTCCGTGTTCATACTTACCACTTCTCAAGTACAGCAATGAAAATTTTAAGAGGTTTGTTACCTACTGCGTCTGGGGAGGGAACCGACCGAATAATGAAATTACAAACAGGAGTTTAGATTAAAGCCCTGCCTGTGCTGGGTCTTGAGGCAGCGCCGCCCCACCAACACCAGCGGGGCACCCGGGGCTGGGTGTTGGGGATGCTCTGGAAATGGGTGCAGGGGGGTCGGTGTTGGGGAGGTAGGCGGAGAGCAGGCGCTGGGGCCGGGTGAGGGTGCCGGGGGTGAGGCGGGATGCGGGGACACCCCGGAGCTGCTGCGGGGACCCCGCTGCGGGCTCAGCCAGACAGCGATGCCGCTGGCCGGGCTGGCTTGTGCCTGATAACGGGGTCCCTTCGGTGCCTCCCGGCCGGGCCCCCCGGCAGAGCCTTCCCCGGCCGGGGCGCTCCGGGAGCGCGGAGCGTGCGGCACGCGTTACCGGCCCCGCTAATCACCCCGAGCCTTTGATTGCCCCGCACGTGGGGACGAGCCTCCGCACTTCAAAAGAGCGTGGGAAATCCTGATTAAAAGGCTTTTCTCCCCCGTTGGGACCGACACCTTCTTTGAAGCCCTTCCAAGCGACAATGCAAACGCACCCAGAGCCAAAGGACCGTATCTATATTTTAAGTGACTTTAATTTCTCTTCCCCCTTCTTTCTCTCTCTCCCCCTCCTTTCCTTTCAGTTTTGGAAACACCTGGTAAGTTGTAAAATGATTTACGAAGTGAAAGTGTTAAATGAGGCCACCAGCTGTAAGACTGACAGAGCTTTATGAGTTTTATTAGGTGCCCTATTATGGAAAATAAACTTTAATCCGTCCATAAAAACAGAATCTGAAAAACATATTTGCCCTTTTAGTCTGGAACACTGAAGGTATTCTTGTGAGACGCTGGGCTTTAAAGAGATTAATTTTATTGAGACAGACACAATACACCGGTAGGACTTTGATACCGGGTCCGTGAATAGCTGCCTGTACCCGCAAGGCTGGTTTCCGTGGGGCTGAGGCGAGTTTGGACACACAGCTCTTGGGCATACAGGATATTTCTGACCCGGTGGGGCACGTCTGCCAGCTTAATTAGTGGGTGTTTAATTAGAAATTAATGACTGAGGGAGGATCTTTATTGTTTGGTGGGGGTGTGATCTCAGGTATTATTATTATTATTATTATTATTATTATTAATTTACTGTTGTTTTATTTGTGTTGTTATAAAAATTTTGTGTTATATTTAATTTATTGATTTTTTTTGAGATAATAAGGTGTCGTACAGACTGATACGGTTCAGACGTTTTAAGGTAGCAGCAAGAGGTAAATCCTGCTGACAGTAACTCGGATGTGTCGCCGTGATTAGGGCGGATGAGCCACAGCGGCCCTACGCGGGTCTTGCGCGCTCCTGCCCGGCCCTTCACCCATGAAGATGCAGCCTCAGCCAGCGGCGTGAAAAACCACAGAGATACTAATGACTTTATTTTTCTATCGCCTTGAAATCTCCACAGCCTGTGACCAAAAGAAAATCGTTTACAAATTTAAATCAAAGCCTCCGACGCAATCGTTTCCGTGCAAGGGGTTAGCTGCCGGTCAAGACCAAATCGAGATTATCCCGATCAAATCTTTTGACATATAGGATCTGTTCAGATTTTTGATAGATTGTGATTTTTGGCGTGTCGCCCCGGGGCACTGGGCGTGCCAGCCCGGTGAGCTGGTTATGCCTGGGTGCCACCTCCAGCTGACCCACCTGAAACTCTCCGTGAGGGACAACACTTTTCCTTCCTGAATCTCATCCCATAATTTCATGCATCCGCCAGCCTGTGTTTCACTGGGCGGATTTTTACAGAAGCAGTTAAGAGGGGCCACGCTGTGGCCTCATAGGACACACTCATACGTTAATGCGATTTTGTAGAAAACCTCTTTATTAAAATTATTATTGTTTTATTTTTAAAGTGCACGGGAGTGGAAAAGCTCTGTGTTTCAGAGCTCCTCATTCTCATCTCCCGGGGCTAGGAGGGGGAGCGGTGCCCCACGAGCGGCGGGGTGCGGGAGCCGCATCCTTCCGCCCCCTTGCGCGGCCCTACGCGGGAGCGGAGCGGAGCCGCCCCGTCGTTCATTCATGGGGATGAATTGCCAGACGTGGCCCTGAGCTGGCGGGGATGAGCCAGTGATTATATTTAAATTCGCCATAATTGATTTGGCGAAGAGTCGCGGTGACAGGGATTAATTGATCTGCAAATTTATTGGCGAGATAAATCGCGCAGTTATCGAAAACCCCGCGCTCCACCGCCGGCGGGGCGGGGAGTCGGGGGTCCCGTCCTCGGTACCGGGGAGGGCACCGGAGCGCCTCGCTGCTTTGGAAGTCGAGCCTCCCCAGGAAAGCAGTATGCAGGATGCTCCCTCTTTTCCTAGGCCCCAGCCCCTTGGGAGGGGATGGTCCCCACCAGTCCCCGAGCTCCCAAAAGCATCGCACGGCCAGGAGCGCCGCCGCCTCCCCGAAACCCGCAGGGCTGTTGCCGGGGGTAGGCAGCTCACCCCTGTACTGAAGCGCTCCTCTCCAGAATATCCTCAGTATCGGACATTGCACGGCTAAATTCGGATTAGGAAGCGGCTCCCGGCTCCCTCCCGAGCTCTTCGACCCCTCCCAAAGCACCGGGATGCCCTGGCTCGGGAGCATCCTCCCCTCACACAGCGCTCGTACACCTCCAGTAAAAAACGCCGTTTATTTTCCCCCCCATCGCAGGGGTGGGAGGACCTGGGGAATAATTTAGCATGCATAAGTAGAGGTAATTTTTTTTTTTTATAAATACGATATACAAAAATAAAGACAGTATTGAGATTTCCAGCAGTTTTAACGTTCATGACATAAACAGATTTCCCGATATATAGTAAGAACAAAACATTTCCAATACTCAGCGAAAGGAGCGCGCTTCCAGGGGGCAGGGATGGGGGGTGGGGGAGCTCAAGTTTTGTCTGGTTTTCAGTCAATAATAACACTGTATTCACGATACATCCTCTTCCCAGCCCGGCATGCGGAGGCTCCTCTTCTCCATCCCTCTCCAAGCAGGGAGAAATCAGAACAAGGCGGGAGCGGGACCGGCGCCAACCAGGAGCGGCGGGACGGCTGGAGGGGCAGGACCCACGGGGGCTCACTGGGGCTGCGCCGGGGCTCCGTGCCGGCCCCGGGGCTGCGTGTCCTCCTCGTCCGCCTCGGAACAGTCGGAGGAGTGGTACGGGCAGCATCTCCCGGCCGCCGCCGCCGCCTCCTCTTCCTCCTCCTCCTCTTCCTCGTCCTCAGGTTCGCTGTCGGGCAGCTCCCGCATCCTCCTCCCGGCGCTCTTCTCGGGGGCGGGCAGCAGCAGATCCTCATCCCCCTTGTCCTCGCCGCCGCCCCCCTTCGGCTTCTCGGCCTCCTGTGCCGCCTGCTCCTTCGCCTTCTTGCTGCGCTTCCACTTCATGCGCCGGTTCTGGAACCAGATCTTCACCTGCGGGAGATGGGACACAAGCACATCCCCTCATCCACCGCCCGCGGGGGCGGCCACGCCCGGCCAGCCCCCGCGGGGCCGGGGACACTCACCTGTGTCTCGGTCAGCATGAGCGACGTGGCCACCTCGAAGCGCTTGGGCCGGGAGAGGTACTTGTTGAGCTTGAACTGGTGCTCCAGCTCCAGCAGCTGCTGGCTGGTGAAGGCCGTGCGGGGTCGGCGGCACTTTCCCAGGAGGTTGGACTGCGCCTGGGCTGGGAAAGGAGAAGGGGGAGCGCGGAGGTGAGCGCGGAGCCGCCCTGCCGCGGCCGCGCATCCCCCGGGAATCCCGCTGGGAAGCGGGGAGGCAGGAAAGGCTCTGCGTGTGATTGAAGCAAGGCTGGACCATTATCCACGGGAGCGAGGCGGGGATCGCCTCCAGGCCCTCTGACTCCGGGATTTCTCGGCTTCCGCCGTGTCAGGGGATCGCCCACAGGGACAAAAAAAAAAAAAAAAAAAAAAAAAAAAAAAAAAAAAAAAAAAAAAGGAATTAAATGAAATCTTTTAAATAAAGTAAAATATGTCTCTTGATTTCCCAAGAGCCTAACAAACGCGAGACAATAAACCGAAGGCAGGGATCGCGGCGAAGGGGCACGGGGCTCTCCGGGGAGCGGCAATTTGCTCCATTTAATGTTTTAGTTAAACCTGTCGCGCTCCCTGCCCGCCCATATCCGTTTAATTAGCGGGATTGCTAGCAGGAACCAGGACCGGGACCGAGACCGGGCCCGCTCCGCGCCCTGCACCGGCTGCCCCTCGGAGCGTAAATCATCAGCGAGGACTAGAAAGCTGTATTGGAAACGGGGGGTGGTGAGGAACTAAAAAAAAAAAAAAAAAAGCGTGTTTTCCACATTAAAAAAATAATTAAAACAAAGGATTTATTAGAGGAGGGAAAAAAATACCAAAACAAAAATAATTCAGCCACGAGAAAGCGGGAACTGAGCCTCTTTGAAGGCCCCGACACCCCTGGGCATGCGACCCGGCAGCGCTACTGCCCATTTCTCAAATTATTTAGATACTTTGGTTATTAGGTTTAGAAAAATAAAAGAGATCTGGGAAAGGGCGTCTTCTGCTCCCCGGCCACGGTTGGAGACAGCTCGCTAAAGCAGCAGAAAGAATAGGACAGTGTCCGCTCCCGGCCGCAGCGCCCGGGAGATTTTCTCACCGCGGTGCGATTTTCCGAGGCTCGTTTTGCTTGGTTATTTATTCCCCTCTGCCCCTTGTTTGAGAGGCAAGACTCTAACAGCTTTCCTAATTATTTTTTCTTCTTGAATGTTCCAGTCTAAACAATCCCAATCCGAGAGAAAACAATGGACTTTTTTGTCTGCGAACGTGTGTGCCGAGTAGAAGGGGGGAAAAAAAATCGCAATTCTTTTCCTGGCATGATTTTCGTAAAACTACACCTCCGGTATTGTTAAACCGGCCATTCCCACCGAGAGCTCACACCTCCGAAAATGATCTTTGCTTAAACCAGATGCATGCAAGTTCCCCATCGCCGCGAGGCCTAGAGCTCGGCACGGCGCTTTGCTGGGACTCCGGGGTTGCCTGGCTCCATCCAGCACTCCCAGTCTTTCCAGAGCCCAGACCTAAACCCTTCGTACTCCTTTCCTATTCGTTATCTCCAGGGGATGCAGAACCCCAAGTTTTTGGCCGATCCCAGATCCTCCCTACTTTGCCTAGGAGGCCCGACATCATTATTACACGTCCATTTCCGATAAAGGAGAAATAAAATTAAGAACGGTGAGTGAGTGATGCGACCTGCCACCTCGTTTTTTGGGGGTTACATTGAGACTGGGGTTTTAGGGACACCATAAGGAATCCTGCCCTGGCCCCTGACCAACTCCCACCTCCCCTCCCCGGCGGCTTCTACCCTCCGGGAACGGCGGGAAAGGGCATTTGCAAAGGCAGGGGAGGCATTTGTCACCTTCCCGTTTAACCCGCCGTGAGAGGCCAGCCTGTCCGGGACTCCTCAAGGGCAGGGAATGGCGATGCGACCGCACACCCCCGTTTCCCGTTGCGGAGCGCTATTTCTTTCTTCTGACATAAATTTTGCCAAAAATAAAAGCGTCTTTTCCAGTTTAAGTCTGCAGCTTGTTTAGGCGGGGACAGGGAAGGAGGCAGCTCCCGTAGGCCCGTGCAGCGGGACAGGAGATGGAGGGGACGCGGCTGCGGAAGGAGGGAGGTAAATACTCACAGTTGAAGTCGGGCATCTTGGGCAGGATCATGCCCGCGGTGGAGGCCCGCAGCCACTGGTCCAGCTGGAAGGTGCCGGCGCTGAGCTTGATGGGGTCGGCGGCGGGGTGCGAGGGGTGCGCTCCCTGCACCTGCGAGTAGGGGTAGGAGAGCGCCGGGTGCTGCCCGCCCAGCGCCGAGTACCCGTACACTGGGTGCCCGTAGAGAGCCGCCTGCGCCGGCATGCCCGGCCCGCCGGGCGCCGCGGGGTGCAGTCCCAGGGCCATGCCGGCCGCCGAGGCGTGGTGGTGCGGGTGCGAGCCCGTGCCCGCCCCGGGCAGGAAGCCGGGCTTGGGGACCAGGGCGCAGTGGGCGGCCAGGAGGCGCGGCGGAGAGGGGCTGTCCGTGCGCAGGCAGTCGGCGGGGCCGCCGGAGGGGTGCTCGGAGGAGGATGAAGAGGACGAGGAAGAGGAGGACGAGGACGGAGGGCTGCCGCTCCCGCTGCTGCTACTACCGCTGCCGCCCAGCGAGGTGACCAGGGCCAGCGGCGCGCTCTGCCCCGCCGCCGCCTTGGGGGGGTCGACAGCCAGCAGCGCGTCGATGCGGAAATTTTTGGATTTTTCCATGGGAGCGCCGGCGGGAGGCGGCTGGGGACCGTGCGGCTGCCCCGGGCCGGCCGCGTCTCCCGGCGGCGGCGGGCGGCAGTGCGGCCGCGCTCCGCGGCGCGCCCCTTCAAGGGCCGCAGGCGGCTCCCATTGGCCCCGCGCCGCTGCGGCCTCGCTCGCCATTGGCCGAGCCGCCCACCCGTCACCGCCGAGCGCCCGCCCCGCGCTGCGGGCGGCGGCACCGGGAACAGCCCGGGACACCCCATGGGAACAGCCCGGGACACCCCATGGAGACAGCTGGGGACAACCGGGGGGACAGCTCGGGACACCCGAGGGGACAGCCCGGGACACCCCATGGTGACAGCTCGGGACACACCGGGGGACAGGTCTGGACACCCGGGGGGACAGCCCGGGACACCCGTGGGGAACCGGCTGCTCCCCACGGAGAGAAGCCTCCCAGGCCCGGCAGTGCGCGGCTCTCCGCCGGCCGCGCTGGCTCCGCCGTGTGTCCAATGACAGTTTTCCACCATTCCCGCACTCGGCAAATATTTGCCGTAAACGCGCCGCCGGCCGCTTTTTAACGAGTCGGAAAGAATAAACACCTGCGGGTCAGGGAGTCACCCTGCCACCAAATCCCGGGTCTGTCAACAGCCTTATTACACCTGCTTATCTAAGGCAAACAGCCTCGGACAGAAAAGGGAAAGAGCAGGGCGAGGGGTCTCTCCTTACCAGGGTCCCGCTTCCCCGGGGGGGCTCGGCCGTGTGAGCGAAAGGTCAGGCTACGGCACGAAGCGCTGCCAAGACAAACACGCTCTCCTTTCAAAAGGTCTCCCCCGTGGAGAAGGGTCTCGGCTGCTGGAAATGCCCAAATCGCGGCTCCATCGGCGAGCGCCCCCCGGGAGGGGCCGCTCCGCACCCGGGGGGCGGCAGGACTGTGCGCTGTCCCTCCCGGCCCCTGCCCCTGGGGTGGGAAAAGTAAAAGCAACGAAAAGAGGAGAGGAAAAAGAAAAAGGGAGAAAAGAAAGGGAGAAAGGGGGGAAAAAATGGAGAAGAGAAATGGAGTCCAACACAACTAACAAAATTTCTGACAACTTTGGCCTTGTCTCCTTGCCACTGCTCCGTGGGAGGGAGGTCCGCGGCGCATCTGAGGGGTGTGCACACATACAGACAACGAACCCTTTGCTCAGTGCCCTCGTGCTCCCCTTTTCCTCTGGACTTTTCCCCCCTGTTGACCTCACTAGAGCTTCCGGACACACTCGCACGAGAGACACAAGCAGGACAGACATGCGGGCACGGGCACACGGACACACCTGTGCATAGGCCTGGCACGATGCACACGCGTGGCACAGCAGAGCCACACGCACACGCACAGCACCCGCACACGGGCCCCGGAGGGCAGATGCTCCCAAAGAGCCGCTGCCGCCCGGGAAACCCCAGCACGCCCCGAGCACAGCTCGCACACCCGCGGGGGCTGGGGTCGAGCCTTGCACAAGACCTCAGTGCCCCCCGCTCCCTGGGATGAACGGGGGGACACCGAGTCGCAGGGTCGTTTTAACGAGCCGCTTCGGGCGCCGAGGGGCTGAGGAGGCCCCAGGGAACGGACACGGGATCGCCGCAGTCGCCTCTGGCATCCCCACCGGCCCCACGTTTCCCATGGACCGTCCCTTTGGCCCCACGCACGGGCAGTCCCAGAGCAGCGAGTGGCCGGACCTTGTCCCTGTGACAGATTCCGGAGGAGGAGGAGGAGGGTGATGGACCCGCAAGCGCCTCCTTCCCTGCGTCCCGGCCCCGGCAGGGATGAGGGCCACCCCCTTCCAATGTGTGGTGTCCATCCCGCTGGACACGGGGACGCGACTGTCACCGGCCGGGCGCTCCGGGCAGAGCCGGTGGCGGTTCCCGATGCCCGGGTCGACGGCTCCGGGGTTGCGCGGGCCCGTGGCGGCTGCGGATTGTCCCGCACGCAGGGACACTGCTCTGGGTACAGCGTGCGGCCCCTTCTCGAGGCAGTTTTGGGGACGAGGGACCGAGCTGCAGGGAAAGCCATCCTGTCTCAGCAGGGAGCCATGGGTGCCGGGCTGCGCTCAGGACACCAGAGGGGACGCGTGCCCGCCCCCGGAGCACGGAGGGATGCTCGGCTGGCAGCGGCCGGAGGCGGAGGGCGGGCGGTGCCGTGAACGCTTCTCCAGGCGGCGATGGGGCAGAAGGCGCGGCCGGTGGTGGGGGACGAGGAGCGGGGTCGCATGGTCCCCCGACCCTGGTCCATCACCGCTCCGGGGGCAGCTCAGGCCGGCTGCCCCGTCTGGACACCCCGCTCCTTCGTTCTGGGTATCGCATCTTTTGGCTGATGGATATTTAGTGCATGGAGAGGGATTTCGATTTTCAGACTTTTTCTTCTCTTCTTTTTGAGTACCATTTTTTAAACTTTCCTTTCCTTTCCTTTCCTTTCCTTTCCTTTCCTTTCCTTAATTTTTAAAGCCTTTTTTTCCTTCCTCCGCACCGTTCCGTGTGTTTGTCCCCACAGGTGCCGCAGGGCATCCGGGCCTGCTGAACTCCCCGCGGCTCCCGCACCTGTGTTGATCCAGTATATTGCCCGGGAGCCAACAATGCGCGGTTATCTCGGCGGAGATAGCGCAAGGAGCGCGCTGCCCCGACACCTCCGGGTGGTCCCTTTCAGGGGAGCCCCCGCTGCCCAGCCGTGGGCAAACAGATCCCTATCTCGCCTTTTGAAAAGCCGGGGCGGTGCACGCAGGGGGCGGCGTGGGGCTCTGGGGTAAATCCCGGTGGGAACAGCGGAGCACCCGGAGCCCTGCGATGGGGGTGTCTCTCATTTTTCCGAATTATCTCCCCCGATATCCCCAAGGCCGCTACAAACCGCAGGCGCGGGCCAGCGTTATTGCCAAAAACACATATTACACTGCGACATTCTGTAAATGAGATAATGATACATAAACCTCCCTGATAAATGTGACATCCTCGGGATGTCTCCTCTAAATTAGCCGCTTGCATTGACTGCTAATAATGGTGAGTTTATGAAAGCAATTTCAGTGCAAAAAGCACAGGGTCTTCTCGGTCTAATCAGCTGCCTCTCCTAATGGATGAGGGGGTCAGGCGGAGAATTATTGACACTCTGCTGCCCTTAACCTGTTTCCCAATAAAGCTGATTAGTTTTTGTCAATTCATCAGCTAACCACTCTCGCCGGGACTGCATCAAAGCCTTATTTGCTCAGGGGAAATCAACAAGTCACAGATCAGATCCATTACGGAGCGGCCCCGGCTCCCCCGCCGGGGGCTGCCCCGGGCAGTTCTGGGGGGAGGAAAATGAGCCCCTCCGGGTGCTTGGGCTGGGACGAGCACCCTCAGGCACTTGGAAAATGCCTCTGCGTTATCAAACTTTTTCCTTTCGTCCGGCAAAGAAGTTGGGGTGGCCGGGAGGGCTCCGGGCAGGTCCCAAAGGAGACTGGGTCTCCACCAGCGCCTTGCCCCTCCTGGGGTCTGGGGGGCGGCAGCCTCCACCCGTCCCTCCCGGGAAAGGGCATTTCATGCACTCCAAGATCTCCGAGCTGCAGAGAGGGGCCGGTCTGCCAAAACCCTGCCTTCACCTCAGACCCCACACCTGGACAAAACGCTGGCCGTGCCTTAGGAGGCCGGGATAATTTTTCTAGATGTTTTTTGGTTGTTTTATTTTTTTTCTTACCTACAAGCCATTTTCCAAAGTTTTGCCTGGATTGCTTTAGACTTGCTCTTCAGCTAATGTGAAACAAAAATTTAGAATTTATTCCTGCTACCGCTGCAATTCCCGCACCAGTCGCGGTTTGTCTGGAATAACGGACTCTGGACAGTTTTTGTTCATCCACAGGAAAACAACAAAAAGCCCACCCAGTGTGCTCTGCCCCTTTAAGCCCGACCGACAGCCTCTCAGTCCACCCCCCTTCAATTTAATTTCATTAAAACAGAGCATGAATATTTCTATTAAACCTAAAATGAAATATGAAGCCATTTAGACTCTGCCTGCACCAATCACCCAGATTTATGACTTTTATTCATCACATCAAGAGCTGGGAAAAATGAATTTTCTTCACCCAGGAAGGAAATAAAAACCCTGCCTTGGTCATTTCCAGAAAGCTGTTAATTTGCCCGTGTGGTAATTACTTTCACAATTAACTAAAATACAAATCAACCTGACAAATTGGGTTAGTTTATATATTAATTAGCCAGTTTAAATTTATTCATTATAAAAAGACAATTTAAGAGGACCTCGGGTGTCTGTTTTATCGCAATAAATTATTGTTAGGAAATGGGGGCTAATAAAACATCACCGCATTTCAGGGCACAGCGCGGGGCTTCCGCGGGCCGGGGCGCGGCTCTGCGCGGGGGCGGCGATGGCAGCGGCGGCCGGGGGAGAGGGAGAGGGAGAGGGACAGGGAGAGGGAGAGGGGCCGTTCCCCGCCTCCAGCTGCGCTGATTTAACACTCCGTCGATAGGATCATTCGATGCCTTTTAGCTTGTGATCTTTATAAATGTCCCGCTATTAAATTAGAAAATGATTCTCTCCTCGTTTAATTGTATTCTTTCGTTTCTTATTTCCAATTAATTAGTCCTATCGACGTTGCAATATTTTAAGTGACTGGAGTCCGTTTACAGTTTAAAATATATGGGTCAGCGCGTGCAATTTTAGACTAGGCAGAACTATATAATGTGGGTTTTAACTACTCTTCTCTCATACGTCTTAAACATCTGGCTAGATGCATCACTGGCAAACACCGCGCGTGTTTTACGCGCTGGGGAGCGGCCGCCCCGCGGCCCCTTCCGCGCTCCGCACGGGGCCGCGGTGGCTGCGCGCAGCGCGACGCTCTGAAAATCGCTTGCGCTGCTCCTTCCCCGCCGCTGCGGGCAAACCGGGCTGTGTGGGGGGAAAGCTGAGGGTTTGCTTCGTTTTGCTTTGTTTTGCTTTGTTTTCCCAGCGCAGTTCCGGGGGCTGCAGAACGCGTTTGGGGCTCCCCCCCGTCCCCCCTCCTCTGGCACCTCCCTCCCCTGCTGCTGTCCCGTGCAGGAGCCTGGGCTGGGAGTACAGAGGGAA